GGGGGGGGGGGGGGGGGGGGGGGGGGGGGGGGGGGGGGGGGGGGGGGCACGCAGAAAGCACCGCCCGAAGTGTTTTTTTAGCTTGAATCACTTTAGCTTAAATCATCGAGTCGAAGGACCACACCAAGACTTTGTTGATAGGTCCAACAGTATGGAAGCAAATGTAGGTCAACCCCCTCTTGCAGAAAGTTCAACACGTGCCATATCCAGAATCATCCCGGAACGGGTTGGAGTCCTTCTGTTATATCTGTTGTGACGTTTGGCACCATATTTTTGAAAGACATCGGGCTTCCATTTTTCCCTCAAGTCCATCCGAACCCCGATGTACGTGAATTCTGCGGCTTTTTTCTTGATCATGCCGTACAGTACCACCCTGCAGCGAAAGAAAACAAGCGCAGAATAACCGACGTCGTGGATATTCGGATGACGCCTTGGTAACTTGCTCCGCGGACGGTTGTACAAGCGCTCAAAGACCCCAAAATGCCAGAGTACGAAAGTCTCCGTAGATCGATTACACGCACTGCCGTAGAGTGGCAGATAGAATTTCGCTTGACGTTGCCGCAACATTTTTGTTGTTGCTGTTGCGTGCATGTGTACGTCTTTCTTTTTCTTTGACATGATGCATAAAATGCCCGTGTTTTGTTAAGGAAGCGTTTATTTTTTACGGCTACAGGTTCCTGGCGGATGGGTCCGAGGTGGAAGGGGAGGAGAAGCAGCTCTGGAACCTTCCCCTCCTGTACTCTACCGCCTCCGATCCCAAGGAGTCTAAGCTGGACATGATGGCCGGGGAGACGCACACCCTCAAGGTAGTGCATGTCTTGACAGCGTCGAGCGAGAAGAAGAGAGGGAGAGACAGACAGACAGCCGGACAGATGAGACAGACACACACTCTCAAAGGGTTTGTGTGTTGGTAAATATGTGGTATGTCCTGACAGAGTTGAGAGACAGGGACCGACAGACAGGAGAATGAGAGGGACAAAGAAAGAGAGAGAGGAGGTGCATTTCTCCTGTTTTAGCGCTTGAGTGGTTGGAGGTCTGTCTATCTGTACAATTGAATTGTATTTTACCCCTCTCTCCTTCCGTTCTAGCGTTCAATCCCATCTGTGGCGTTTCGTGTGACCTTTTCCTTTTCTCTTCTTTTATTTTCTTTTTTCTGGCATGCGTTCTTGATGGCCGTCTTCGTCTTTGACATCCTGTCTGTCCTTTGCTGTCCTCCTCTGCGCAGTCAGCCAGCTGTCTGCGTACTTGATATGGAGCCCAGTGCCTTGCTTGTTTTGGATCCTGCAAGGCAGCAGTCTAGGCATCATCGCCGCTCTCCCCTCACACATAGTACTGGCCGGCTCCCCCCTGATTCGTCTCCTTCAAGCACTAAAACGTCCTCTCTGCTGTGTGGTTTATGCATAGGTGGAGCTGAAGGACAAGGACGATTGGGTGAAGATCAACGCCGGGCAGCACACGCTGATGCGGGTGCTGTACACCCCAGAGATGATGAAACGCCTCGAGCGGGGCGTGAGGGACCGGACGCTCGCGCCGGAGGTAAAGAAAAAAAAAGCTTAATGAATGAAGGGAGTCGATTTCTTTTAGTTTGTTGATGTGTCGTGCGCGTGTGTACAAGAGGTTTTTGGAACACTTTTTCTTGGCACGAAAAAATGCGGCCAGCTGGTACACGTCTTAAAATAGACTAATTTTGTTTTTCCTTTCAGGAAGCAGAAAATATCAAAATATCGAGACATTGTTCACCGCGCAAAGCACACAACTGCTGTTGTCTTGCGTAGTTTTTTGTAAATTTTTGTTGTTGCTCTCCAAGCACGTCTGTTGTTGCACACGACACCTGGCGGCGGGCTCACCCGAACAACCCCCCGAACGGAAATTTAAAAAAGTGATGGGCAGCAAGGATGCCACCGCCTCTGGTGCTGGTGCTGACTGCTGCTGGCTATGTGATGGTAGTAATGGCGTTGTCGATGCTGTTGTTCGTGCTGGTGCTGACGGCTGCTGGCGATGTGATGGTGATAATGGCGTCGTGGATGCTGTTGTTGTGACCTCTCGTCGTGATGATGAAACCGAACACGTCGGTTGATACATGGAATACACCGGCAGAATTGATTGACTGCTGTTAATTGTTGTACGAAGTTTTGCTGCCGTAATCAACAACGGTATATGACGCGGTGGCGACTTGATGGTGGGTGGGTAAGAATGAAAGAAAGAAAAATGACTTCGACGACGCTTACAGGACCGCGCGAGCATCGTTTCGGACGCCTACGCGCTGGTGAAGGCCGGCCGCATGGGCGCCGACCAGCTGGTTCGGCTGCTGCCGGCGTACAAGGAAGAGGACGACAGCACGGTGTGGAAGGCGGTGGACAGCGTGCTCCTCGGCCTCGACAAGGTAAAGCTGCTGCATGTACATCGGCGTGTGTTGTTGTTGTTGTTGTTGTTGTTGTTGCTGTTGTTATGGTTGTCTCTGCATTTCACATATCTCTATCCAGTGCCTCTCCTTCCCGTGCCATTGTCGCGGTTGGTGGTCGTGGGATTGTCGTTGTTGTTGTTGTCATCGTCGGCGGTCGCGCTGGTAACGGTCGTGCTTATACCTGGTCACAGGGCCATAGCATACCTGAAGGCCGGCTGTGCCGTGACAGTCGTCATGTTGCCCTCCCAGCTTAGCGATCGATCTATTGTACGGGACCCCCCTCCCCCCCCCCTGACAAGCAAAACAAAGTCCCGTAGGTATGGTCACGCCCACATTCTCCCTCTCTCTCTCTCTTTCTTTCTTTCTTTCTTTCTTTCCTACAACTGCCGATGCCTTGTTTTCCTTTTTTGCTCTACCCCTCTTGTTTTAGATCCTCAAGGCCGACGAGGCGATGAGCAAGCGGTTCTCCAAGCTAGCGGCCGGCCTGCTCAAGCCGATCGCCGGCAAAGTGGGCTGGGAGCCGAAGGACACGGACGGGCACTCGGGAAAGCTGCTCCGAGCGACGGTCATCGAGCTCCTGGCCACGTGAGTGTTTTTGTGTGGAGAGGTCCAGGTGTATGAAGAGTTATCATGCGGAGGAATAGCCCAGCGTGGTGGGTGTGTGGGCCGTCCAACAAGCTTTTTGCGTGTGGGTCCTTGTACCGCACCAGCAGAGTGCGTCCATCGAACCTCGATCCCGCCGCCGCGGCATGGGGGGGGTCTGCATAACCCTACCAATGCTGTCTGCACGTACATGTGCGAGATTCCGAAATACAAGAAACATATGTGATCCCTGGTGCACGGCGGTGAGCGGTCGATGGCATCTTTCTTTCAAAGAAGGAAGATGACCTACGGGTTGCGCGTGAGGATTGCTTGGGTGTGTGTGTGTGTTTTCGTCCTATTTATTGTGGCGACAGTCCCCCCATTTGTCGTGGTATGACGTTTAGTACATTTTTCAGCGTATGTAGAGTACTACACTTTTCAGTGTATTTTTTCGTACAACTACAACCGTCCAGGGCCACACAGGAGGGGTAAACACCAGGGCTTTTTTCTTCTTTTTATTTCTTTTCATGCCCCACCTTCCTCCTGCGGTGCGTGCTGAATTTTATTTTTTTCGCGAGAAGGGTCCAGCCGTCCCTTTCCCTCGTCAACGGTGCTAACGTCGAAGTTTGGTACTCACGAGAGCTTTTTAGCTATATTTCGCTTTCACCCGCAAATTTCGTAAATTTTTCACCCCATGGGGATTCGAGCTCACGACCTCTGTGACTAGCGGATTACGAGGATTTCACTAGACCACCGGGGCGACCGGTACGTTGGGTGAAAGCGTGCGTAAATGTCAGATGCATACCACAAGTGATCCCTCCGGAGTGGGCGTCTCATGAGAGCACAGTGTCATCAAGGGGTGATAATGCAAGATGAAGATAAAACCAGGCAGCAGGACCAATTCCAACAGCTGACTTTAGGCTGCGGGGCGACGTTTCCCAAGCTCAATACCTGACATGCTTTTGACTCGAATAACCCAAAGAAATTCTTGAGACTCTTTTCAGAAATATGTGTAAATCAGCACACGGAAAACAATTCCTCTTTTTTTTCAATTCGTTGCGTGTGACGCAGGTTCTCGGCGGACTCCGCGGAGGTGCAGAAGGAGGCCCAGGAACGCTTCGCCACCCACATCGACAATCCTAAGGAGGGCAAGGCTCTGCCCAGCGAGTACGCGATCCCGGTGTACAAGATCGTCCTCAAGGCCGGCGGTCAGGAAGAGTTCGACCAGGTAGATACTGCAGGTCTTTTGATTTTTTTTTTTTGTCAGTTGTTGTTGTTGTTGTTGTTGTTTGTTGTTTCTCACATTAGCTCTAAAAAAGAAAGATTGGGAGCCCGTGGTCTCAAAACCCGGCATACACGACCCCACGAAGAAACAGAAAAAAATAGGGTACAAAAACCACTCGGAAGAGAAACAAAATGATACAGTATGATCCAACGAGTCCATCTCTGTCGAACAAAAGAGTCAAGGTCTTTTGACTTTCTTTTTCGCCACTGTTACGTGCATGTAGCCTCGGCTTGTTTTGTAGTCTCGCCGATCAGGTACAGTTCTGGATATTCTTTTCGGTGCTGTTGCGTGCATGTAGCCTCGGTTTTTGTTCTTGAAGACTTTGCATGTATGCGTGTTTTACGTGCGCGTTCTGTTGCTGCTATGGTGTCTTTTGATTCTTGTCTTGATTCGCTTGGTGCGCCCTTTTGTGGGTGTAATCACTGTTGTCTCTTTTGTCAAGCATCCGGCACTTGTTTCCAGAATCACAAACGAAAAAATCGCACAAAACGATTTAGATGAAGACATGGTGACAAGAAACAGCTGTCACACACACCGTTATTTACATCTTCTGCTACGTGTCCCGATCGCACGCAGCTCATGGGGCTGCTCGACCAATGCGACAACCAGGCGGAGAGGAAGATGGTGTACATGTCGATCGGATCCACCCCAACCGATGCGCTAAAGAAGCAGGTCCTCGAGTGGTCGGTATCGTCGGTGAAGCTGCAGGACTTCTTCTACCCTCTCAACAGGTGATGTCGAGATTGAGATTTGGTTGCACGCTTGCTTTGATCATTGCCTTATGTCGTTTAATGTTGTCGGAGGGGGGGGGGGGGGGGGGGGGG